AAACTTAATACACAGATCTTGACTTGTAATGATGGGTATCTGAGGCTTATATATTGTTATGAACTAATGTTACTTCAATGAAAAAATGAAAGATGCTCCCTAAAACAAACAACAACAGAAACCAAATAACCATAAAAATGCATTACATAGCTTACATTTGTATGTGGTAAGGGCCAGCAGAATATGTGATAAGAGAGACTAAAATGTCTGGGAGTATTATAACCTCTGAAAGCAATTGGGCTCAGCCAGGGGCTATCCCAGAAGTGGAAGGTCGAAGAGGGAATGCGAGCACTGGGCAGGAGACAGAGGTGCTCTCAGTGCTTTCCTGTGAAGGGTGCACAGAGATGCCTACCTACGGCCACATGCCCGCTCCCTGCAGGAGAGACCTTATTGAGGTCTCTCAGAGCTTGTTTGAGCTGATTGAGATTCTACAGGTTATGACTAAATAAGTAACCAAAAAGTCTCTTAGCTGACTGGTGGACCAGAAGCAAGAACTTCCTAGCTGTGGGGCCATAACAAGTTAAGTGCCCCACCTTTGGTACTCCAGAGACACCTGGACTAAAATGGGGAGCAGAGGTAGAGGGCACTTTGGAAAGTGGGAGCAGAAACCAGGCTGGGAGGTCTCCCACAGGAAGCTGGGTACAGGTATCTTCTCTGGTGGCCTGGGACTGACCTCAGTGCCCTGTGCAGCTTTGGTCTAAGGACTGTCCCTCCTGTTTCTGTTTGTCAACCCTCCTACTTTGCCCCCACCTTATTTCAGATCTGACTGCAGTCAAGAGGCTGAAATTTATCTCATTTCTTTTCCTGTTTGCTCATGGAGACACAACTGATGTTCAGAAAGGAATCTTATGAAAAGATTTTTGTTGTTGCCTTCTTAATAATTCTCATTTAGTCAAAAGTTGTGTCTTGTGGGTGTTTTGATCCAACTAAAGGAACTTTTAAGCTCTGGAGAGAAAAGAGAAAAATAGGGCCAGCACGCTGTGTCATCGTGTAGGCAAAATAACCAGTCACAGCAATTGACCATTGACGTTATAGGATTTTGTTCACCTCCACCCTTTTGTCCACTCTTCGGCCAATTTACCTCAGCTGTTGTGAAAACAAAACAAAATTCCTCCATGGCTTGAAAGCAAAACTGCATTTTAAACAATCGGTAGATGTGTTTCGAAGTGGTTTGAGGGGAGTGCCACGGAGTAAGTAGGCGACCACCGAGGTTGCTACAGTATTTCCTGCCCTGACCAGAGTTGCTTTTCTGGAGAATATTTAACAGGGAGGCTTTAATGCTTCTAAAGATGTTGAAACTAAAGAACAAATATTGACCCAGAGGGCACCACAGCTCTCCTGAAAGAGAGTAAAATACACCCTTTGTAAAATGAAAAAACTACTTGGCCCAAATATTCCCAAGCCCATGCACAATTGGCTCTCTGAGGGCGGAGGGGTGATTTTGGCACGGCCCGGCCTGGGCACCGATGCACCAGGCGGCATCCGAGGTCCCGCTCGCCCCGGCGGCTGCGCTCTTCCCGCCAGTGGACCTGAGGGCCCAGCCAGCGCATCTGGGCTCCCGGCCACCCCAAGCGGCAGGCGGTCGCACTGGCACAGGTGATGGGTAACCCGGCCAGCGCTTGGCCCGAAGGCACGTTGCCGCTGGAAAGTTGGGCTCCGCCGAGGCCACCCGGTGCGGCAGCTCCCTCACGCCGCGGCGGCACTGGAGGTGAAGCTGTCGCCTAAACGGAGCCTCCCTGCGCCCAGGAGGCGGTGAGTCAGGACGCGTGATGCAAGCACTGGCCCGCAGCCCCCCGGCGCCTCCCCCGCGGTCTTTCACCCCGGCGGTTACGAAAGCGCGACCCCCCCACCCGGAGCTATA